CCAATTGAACATTAGACACATATGAGATTAGAATAAATCTGCTACATTTTCCTCATGAAATCATTGGGAGGAACTGATTACCTAGGAATCTTGACTGAGGCTGAGGATCTACTTACCCCAATGGATAAAAACCCTATTGTTTCAGGGGAAGGTGACAGTTATACTGGGGTTGGAACTTGGGGAGAGGAGTCAGAGTACAGGAACATAGAGGCAGCTCTGACCTCCTAGCCAGGCCTCAGGCCCTCTCGAGTTTGCTCTGGAAATTAGAAACCCTCAGACCTCCGGACACTCTTGACCATCTCTCCTGTGTGGGGGTAGTTTTCTTCTGGCCACACAGACTGTGAGCACTGGCTTTCTCACACACACACATGCACATACACATGCACACAAAGACACACACATAGACACATGTGAACCACTGTACGTTGAATAAGGATGATGGGGTGGGATCAGAAGAGGAACAGACATGGAGGAGGAAAGTCAGAGGAAGATCAACTGGGTTGCAGGCATTGCCCACACGTGACATCACTCCCAATTTTCTAGGCGTTATTCCACTTACACCCGAGGCCATCCCTAGAAGTCCCTGCAAGACTCATTCCCACTGTGCAGCTGGGGAGACACACCGGCCTGGACAGACACCAGGACTTATCCAGGATGGAGAACAGGTAAGAATGAGGAGTTGAGTCTGGATGCCAGATAATCTCCTTACAGCTGCACACAGACCCACCCTGGGAGCTGTGGAGAGGGCAAGGCTGCTATAACTGTGGAAGATGCAGGTTTGTGTGGAGAAGGGGGTGAGCAGGCAGCAGCCCAGAGGGCTGTGTGTGCAGGTGTTTTCTGAGGAGCGGGGTCCAGGAAGTGACCCCAGGAAGTGACATCACATCCTCAACAGACCACAACAGAAATGGAACCTGGTTACCAAGCACCCACATTCCAGTGATGGCCCCAGAGCCAGCTCACTTGGCTGGAGACAGCTGAAGACACAGGATGTTCTCCTCTTGTTTCCTGGTCTCCCGGGGCTTCTCTGCCAGGAAACCCTGGACTGCTGAGGTTCTTCAGTGGCTGTAGGCGTCTGCGGAACCCTCAACCCAGATGCCTCTGGCCTATTTTGAGGAGGTCACCTAAGGTAACGCAGGGTGGCCTGCAGAAGGCCAGTCTGGGACCAGCCTCCATTGGGGGCCCTCGCTGGGCAGGCCCACATTCCCTCATCTCCATGTCGCTAAAGGGGGACTTGAGGGGAGGTGTCCCCGCTGGGCAGGAATGGCTTGTTGAATACTCAGTAACCTGGTGGTGTTGTCATGGCCACACCCAAGGACAGGGCTGATAAGGGGGAAAGAGGACTCCTGAGGGGCATCTTCTCTGTGTCAATGAGAATACAAGTCCCCCACTTTGTCAGCTTTTTTGTTCCTGAAGGAGGTCTGTGCAGTCAGTAGTGTATGTGTGTCAGGACTGGAGATGTCTTATGGGTCGGAGAACCACCAAGAGAAACAGAAAGGGCTCTGAAGTCTCTCCTTGGCCACTGGGCACTGTGTTTGCAGGATTCCACATAGGAGATGGGAGAGGACCTGGTCCATGGAGTCCCCCGCTCCACCTCCCTGCAGGAGGCACAGGTGCCCAATGACAACAGCAGAGCCCAGAATGGGCTGAGGGTGAGTGTGAATGAGGAGACTCCAGACCCAGGAAGCCCCAGGCCTCACAGCTGCCCCACTCCTCCCACGGGCTGCCTCCTAGATACCTGCTGGCCAAGGAATCTGATTCCCCATCTCCATCTGCCCTCACAGACCAGGGCCTGCCTTGGCCAGATGCAAGTCAATAACCACATATGAGTCCGAATCTCAGAGGCTTTGATAAAACTTCAGTTCATGTTAAGTCCAGAGTTTTTCTGCATTTCTCTACACATTGCCCTGTTTCTCCTCCATCCCCACGTGTCCACATTGACCTGAAGATCCTGAGCCCTCCCATCCAAGGCTCAGCCGCTGTGTTCTCATCCCTACAATGGGATGTTGTGACAGCAGTCACAGGGATGAAGTGGTGCATGCAGGGAGGGGTCGGCACTGCGGTGCTGACACAGGGATCTGAGACACTAATGCATTTCATCATCGCCCTTCGCCCCCTGTACTGGTGATGCCGAGAACCTTGAATCTGCTCAGGGCTCCCCTGTTCCACCTCAGGCACAAGAGCTTGAGGCTTAAGGATTCAGTCTGGTCTCCAGTGCCGAGCCTCTGGAGGTCCCTGGTGCTGCATCTGACTCATGTCTCTCTTCCTTCCACCCCAGGGGGGAGCTGGACCATCAGGGAGTAGGGATGAGACCTACAGGTTGTGGAGCCTCCAGCGACACAGGCTGGAGAAACTGGTGGCAAAGCTGGTGCCTGCTGTCCTGAGTGGACACCTCTCCTATGTGAACACGTTTCTGGGCAGTTATCGAACTTCTGCCACCGCCCAGCAGGTGCTGGACCATCTGTTCCGAAGGTGAGCACTGTGTCTTCATGGGACATTGGTGACTCGGCCACCTACCAGCAGTGCCATGAGGCATTGTTCCTCTACCTGTTTAAGCCTCAGTTTGCTCCCCTGTACACTGGAGTCAAGAGATGTTCAGGCCCTAGGAGGGTAGGAACAGAGAGAGGCCATTCATGAAAAGTGCTTTCTGGGGACCTGGCTCATGGAAAGGGCAGTTGGTGGGGCTGTGGTTGTGCGAATTTGTCCTTGTCCTCCTGCCAAAGAGGAAGCGTCTGCCTCCTGTGTCACTGGGACTTTGGCCTTGGGTGGAACTGTTTTCCCATTTCAAAGGGGATTTGTGATGCCATTAGCTGTCCCTGTCCTGGGAGAGTGAGAGCAGGGATCACTGGGAGGGACAAGTGGGGTCCCAGGCCCACTAGATGTGCACTGTGGGGACAGGTGGGCTCACTCACTCATTCCTCAAATGTATAGGAAGGGCCCCCAGGGACAGGGGCTTTTCTAGGAACAACCATCATTTAATGCATAGAGCAGACATCAGCCCTGCCCTCCAAGGCTTCCATTCTCCCGGGACTCACACTGTCACACTAGACAGCGCATCCAGCTAGTGTGCTCAGGACAGTCCATGTGACGCCTTCCTGGTTTCCTCTAGATACGGATGCATCCTCCCTTTTACTGAAGAGGATGGGGGACCACTGCACCAGCTGAAACAGTGAGTCTCTTGGATTGGAGGGGGAGGGACTCCTTCCCCAAATAGTGTGTGAAGCTCTGGGCTCTCTGGTTGGGCAGAGGTGGGGGGAATCCTGGATCCCACATATCTTGTGAGTGTGGCTTGAGAGCAGAAGTCCTAGGGCTTCCCCTGGAAAAGAGGAACGAGACCCAGAGAGCTGTGGATGGGACTGTGGCGCTGTGAGGGGCATCTGGGAGGTCAGAGGACAGAGTCAACCCCGAAGAAAACCCACAAGCATCCCCTATCCATCCCATCCCTGCCCACATGCCCTTTGGGAGACACAGAACACGAGGGGTGGAGAGCATCCTGCCCACCATCTAGTGGAGCCTCAATGGTGGGGACTTAGCTGGTGCTCAGGGTACCCAGGGAGCCTCAGGGGACAGCTGAGCCCATCCTGATGATGCTGAGTGGCAGGGGCAGAAGGAGACCCAGGCAGGGTCCCTGGACGATTCTGCAGCCAGCAGGTGCAGGAGCTGAAGTCTGAAGTGTGAGGAGGCCCATGGGCAGCCTGGATGGCCGACACAGCCTGTCTGTTCCCTCCTGGCTCAGGCACTCATAGAGCAGCTCCCGTGTCCCTTAGAGGGCAGTGGCCAGAGCACACAGCCTGCCTGTCCTCACAGACGTGCCATCCAGTGGGGAGGGTCAGGGAGAGGGACATAGCAGTGTGACAGGTGTCCCTGAAGCGGTGGACAGGTGGTCACGCCATTGAGCCAGGGCTGTCCCTTCAGAAGGCTTGTAGCAGCCCCTCCTCTGTGTCCAAGCCCGCCTCTGCCCACACTGCCAGGTGAGATGGGACATGGAGCAGAGCCGGCCTCTGGATGGGCAGGAGCCAAAGGCAAAAAGGCCCAGGTCCCTGCAGGCCTACCCTGGGAGCGCAACATGGTAGGAAAGGCCAAGCCTCTGACTCTGGTGTCCCCGATGACCCCAGGGCCATGTCCTCCATCCTGGGCACCTGGCTGCTCCAGTACCCAGATGATTTCTACCAGCCTCCAGAATTTCCAGGCCTTAAGACCGTTGTCGCTTACATAGAGCTCAGCATGCCTGGCTCAGACCTGGAGCAGCAGGCCCACCTCCTCCTGGTACATCTGGAGCAACTGGAACTCCCAGAGGCAGACAGTGATGGTGAGGAGGATGCAGGGTGGGTGATGGGGTGGGTGGTGAGGGGAAGGCACTGGACCCCACAGAGCAGAGGCTGGAAAGACTCCCTGGGGGTGGAATCCTGGAGTGAGATTTGATTGAGTAGCAGTGAGGGCTCCCCTGGCTTTGGGAGACACGTGGAAAAGCAGTCCTATTGATGAGAGTTTCCCTTTTGTAGCTTCAGCACCAGCTCCAGAACCCACTGGGGAAACCCCTCTGGATGGAGAGCCAGCTCCAGCTCTCCCGCCTGTGATAGCGCCAAAGCCATAGCCAGAGCAGAGGGACACACTGTCAGTGTCAATCCAGCTCTACTGCCTGCCATCGCCTTCAGGGCCGGGATGCCCGCCGTTCCTGAGGTGTCTGTGATTTACAATTCCTGATTCTTCTCAGAGGTGGTAACATATTACTTGGTACCTGTTGTGTCTGGCTGAGTAATGGATGAAGAGAATGATCATCGTCTTTTGTTTAAATTTTACACGTTTAAAAATTAAAAATAAGGTCGGACATTGCGTTAAGGCACACTCCTGGATATGTTCCATGCAGGGGTATTTTGATTTGCAACAGTAGCACCCACTTGAGCTCAGGTGCACAGAAAGAGTCTTTCCAAAACATATAGATGCTGGAGAAGCTGCAGGAAGCTCCGAGCCTCAGGCCAGGTGTCCTGGGAGGTGCTCACAGGTCCTCCCGTCCCTCAGGCTGCCCAAGCAG